GACGTAGACGCCCCGGGGCGCGCCTTTGTCTCTCCCCTGGCCTCGGCGGCTAATTAGATGGGGCGAAGGGGGGGCTGGTCTTATTTACCTCTCCGCGGCCGCTGTGGCTGCGCCCGCTACCCGGCGCAGACCAGGCTCCGAGTCACGTCTATTGAAACCTTGCGCGGGGGAGCCTTTATCCAATCCACATCACCACCCCCCTAGGCAGCCCTTGGCGCCTTTGTACCTTTCGGCGGGCGCGCCCTGGAGTCCCAAACCGTCCTACAGGAACGGGGAGGGTGGGGGGGCGAGATTCGCCCCACGCGAAGAAGAAATTTCCCTGGGCCATGGGAGGGACGGGGGCAAGAAAGGCAGAGCTTCAGGGAGCTGGAGAGAGAAGTGGGAGGAGGAAGCTGGGGAGGGGGCCAGAGCGCAGGCGAAAGAGGAGAGAGCGCGCGGGAAGGAGGAGCAGGAGAGGGGGACAGGGAGAGTGGCCGGGTGCAGGAGGTAGAGGGAGAAGCCAGGATTCGAGCGAGGGCGAGTGGAGGGCAGGGCCGCGCGCGGGAGGAGGGGGCCGAGGGCGGCCGGGGGCGGCCAGACGCACAGGCTGCGGGGCACACGGACGGCGGGAGGAGGCGCGGCGCCCGGTTGCGCTGGGGGCCCCACTCCCGCCGGGGGACTGGGGCGCAGGAGCTCGGAACCTGGGGGTCGCGACGAGACGCGCCGGCTTCGGCGCGACCACATTCTTCGCCTTTTCTTCCCCCGGCTCATTCAGCCCGATCGATACCTGCGCGGGACCTGCCCCCGCCGCTAATATCTTTTTAATGAGTTCCCCGGGCTTAGAGCGAGCACGGTCTGTCCTCCAGGGTGGATTTTCCCCCGGCAGATGTTTCGGGAGGAGGAGGAGCGCGGGGGCCCCGGGAGGGAGGGCAAATCTCTCCCTCCCAGGAGCGAGGGCAGGAGACTTTCTTCTAAAGTTCAAAAGAAAGACGGGCTTTCACTCGGCCCCCAAAAATGTATTTCTCGGCGGACAATGGGCTCCTTTCTGCGACTCCGAGGGCCGGCGGGGCGGGAGGGGCGGGGACCCGTGCGCCCTGGCCCAGCCTGACGAACTCGCCACCCCCGCCCTCGGCTGCCGAGGGAGAACCCGGCACCGGTTCCCCCTACTCCAAACGTTCCCTCGGGGTCGCCGAGCTGAGGCCGGGAGCGCGCGCGACAGCGAAAGTGCCGTGTGGGCCAGGCTGCGGGGCCTCGGGAGACTGGCTGCCCCTTGCACCCTGGGTCACACGAGTACGGCCGCAGAACCTGCAGGGTTGCGCCCCAGTGCCTCGAGAGGAGGCCGGACTGATCTCCTGGTTTGGGCCGTTGCCCCGGTCCCCATCTGCACTCCGCCCTGCGCGGGGCAACAAGTAGAAATCGGCCGGCCCCCGGGACGGCAGAGGGGCCCTGCGTCCCCTCTACGCCTGTGCCAGTCCCGGCCACCCCTTCAGACCGTCCCAGCCTTGTCGCCCCCTTCCAGTGTCCCTCAGTCCGTGGGCCCGTGGGCCTGCCGTCGCCTCCCTTTCTCCACCCCCGTGGGTTCGCGGGATGGGGAGCCCCGGGCGCGAGGATGACCTCCGAAGAGCCGCAGCCGATTGATTCGTTCCGCCCGGAGCCGGGGCCGCGCGAATGGGGGCCCCGGCGGCGGCAGCAGCCGCGGCGGCGGCGGCGGGGATAAAGATGTTCTCCCCATAAGGGGGAGGGGGCGCGGGGAGGGAGACGGGGCCATTCACTCCTGGCCTGGCCCCTCGGGAAGCTGGGCCGAAGAAAGGGGGCCGGGGCCTATTCAAGCCCTACGAGCCTCCCACAATGGACCGATATACTGGGGGCCTCTCTATTAACGCCCATGAATATTAAAGAGATGGAGGAGTTGCAGCTCGCGGGCGCGAGGGGGGGCGGCGCCTGCCAGCTCCGGCCGGGCCGGGGCTGGGCAAAGGGGAGGGGGATTCGGCGGGCACACTCTGCGCCTGGGCCCCGCGCAAAACGTACGGTTCATCAGCAGGTAGACCCTGGAACGTGCAATTTTTCCCTCGCCGTCTCCGTAAGGAGAGGGGGAAGCGCGGGGACTTTGCTCCCCGTTTCCAATAGACCCTGACACTGAGGGGCTCCCTATAAATACCCCTTCCCCTAGGCTGCAGTTCTGGTGGGTCGGTGTCTGGGCCAGAAGCACAAACTTCAAGTGGGCGGTGAAGACGCCCGGGGCCGGCGCACTAGCTGGGGAGGAGTTCTGGGCTGCGCTTTCGCCACGCCCGCAGCACCGCTCCCCAAGATTTGCGGGAACCAGGGAAAGGATTGCTTTGCACCTTTTGCCCTTGAGATGGGCTCCAGGACCTAAATGCCGCGCCCTAGGACCGAGGAACGCACAGACCTTAGGGCTTTTTCTCACTAGGGAGCGGCCCGGAAATTGGCGAAATCATTGGAGCTTTGGGGAGAAAGTGGCTTGACCCAAAGAAAGACAAGGCGGAAAGAAACTTCAGTTCACAAGGTTCAGTCCAAACCATTGTGCAGACGGTAAACTGAGGCTCAGAGACTAGAAGGGACGTCCCTTGGATGCACAGTAGTCCTCGTGCCTTTTTCGTCTCCTGGAGGCGCCAAGGTTGGCCGCGGAGCTTGGGAGATATAGTCTCCTCCTCCCTTGGCCATTCTCCTCTCCAGCGAGTCTTTGGGGAAGCCAAGGCCCAGGCGCCCATAAGGCTCCCTGAGCCGAGAGCCACTGGACTGCGTATGCCCCCTCGGGCGCGAACCCACAGTTCACGCGCGAGCCAGCCTGACCCTCTGAAAGAGAGAAAAGGTTCCGAGTTCCTACCCGGTGGGATGCGTTCGCTCCTCCGCAGCGCTGCCCTCTGCTGGTGCCGGGCCCGACGGTCGCGCCTTCTGCCTGGTGCAGCTTCCCCCGGGCGTCAGCCTCGGGCCGACTCAGTTCCAGGTCTAAGTGCCAGCGGCCGCCACCTTATTTCTTCTGCGCCCCCACACTAGTCCCGACTTCCCCGAAACCGCTGCAGGGAACCGGGCGCGCAGGGCCAGGGATCCGTAGCAGCCAGGCGTGAGGCTGGCTTAGCGAAGGTCGGACCCGGCGTTGAAAGGGCCTCTTTGCCAAGGGACATTCGTACAAGAGGCATGCTCGTGGGAAGGCCAGGCCCCGGTCCCTCGGCTCCAGTCCCAGCACTAAGGGAAGGGCCTAGGGAGCCCTTGCTGCACAGCCTAAACCTAACCTGTGAGCCCAGCCTAGGCCCTAAGGTCCAGAAAACCTGGCTCCATTTAGAGGCATCTGGGATTGCAGCCCCACCGAGGAGGGGAGGAAAGGGAGGCTAGGGATCTGACAGGTGCGAGGGGTGCCCCCCATCAGCTCCCCCCCCATGTGTCTGGCTGGAGTCAGGGGACTTGAGGCTAACCCCCGGAGGCAGCAAAGCCCGCAGGAAGCGACGACCTTCCTGCCTTGGCTTTGGGCAAAGCATATCCCGAGAGGGTCCGGGTGGAAGGCGCTCTGACAACTGTGCCTGGGAACCTCCACGCAGAAATTCTACCAGTGGGGTGAGGTGAGCAGAGGAGAGAGAAAGTAGGGAGGAAATGAAGGGAGGAAAGAAGAGGGAGGCAGGAAAAGAAAGAAATAGAGCTAGCAGTCAAGAAACAAGGAATGCGGAGATAGGCGCAGGCTTCCTTAGGTTGCGACTGAACCAGGAACTCGGAGGCCCCAGCCGCGAGCCAAACAGCACCGCGACTCAGCCCGGAACTTTCTGAAGGTTCGGAGGGTGTTCGCTCGAGAAACTGGGCTGCATCTCGTCAAGGGCGGGTCCAGGGACCGCTCCCGATCCCCCAAAGGTGCATCCCGCAGGAAAACCTTTTCCGAGCAACTGGCGACCTGTGCGGGTCCCAGTCGCTCTTCCGACCCCCAACCTAGCCTAGCCCTCTAGGGCCGGGAGATGGCCTCCCGCGAAGCCGTTGCAGGCCCAGCCCCAGCCCCGACGGCGGCTGCTGCCCGGGCCCGGCAGCCAGCTCAGCCAGGGAGGGGATTAGCGCCTGGCTGCGCGCAGCTAGCTGGGAGGTTGGCGCGCCCCGCTTGAAGCGAAGTGCTGGCTTCTACAGCGCCCCCTGCGCAGGAGGTCAGCGCGGCATGGACTGGGGGCTGCGGGTTCTGGGGCGACCTCGGTAGCCTGGGACGCAGAGACCCCAAGGGAGGGCAGGGCCCCGCTAGGAGTGGAGTGTGGGCCGGCTTGGGCCCGGCAAAGCCGAGGTGAATCGGAAGCTGGGGCGGTGAGCGCGGAGCTAGCCAGGGACCCGGGTGAGCGCGGGGCTCGCCGGGCCCGAAGCTGGGCGTCCCCTCCTGCCCAGTCCAGGACTGAAGCCAGAGCGAACCCTGCCGTGCCCCCTCCCCTGCTTGGTCCCCTCCTCTCCTAGCCGCGGGCTAAGCCTCCCTCGCTTCCCACGGGGAGAGGAGGAGGAGTGGGGAGAAAGGGCCGGGGAGGGGCCGGGAAAGAGAGGAGAAGGTGCTGAGCTGCCCGCGCGCCCCCGCCCCTCGCGCTCTCGTGGCAAAAGCTCTTCGAGCTCGGCCGGGTACAAGTCTGTCCTCCGACGTCAGGGGGTCATTAATAACCAATTAGGAGGGTCACTGCGGCTCCTATAAAGGCGCTGAGATTTTGCCAAGGGGAAAACCGTCCAGGCTGGGTGTGCGAGAGGCGAGCGCGCGTCCAAGAGCCCCTGGCAGCCGTTTCTCCGCAGCCACCAGCCTCCCACCCATCCCGCACCCCCGCACCCGCCTCCGCCTCCACCCTTGCCTCTCCAGTCCTTCGCGCCGCCTCTGCCATCTCTGCTGATTCCTCCATTTCTCTCTGCCTCTCTCCCCCTTCTTCTCTGTCCTCCCAGCCACCCCCTCCTGCGTTGTCCTCCCCCTGCTCCTCTTCCTTCTCCTCCTCGCTCGAAGCCCTCTCCTTTCCGCGCCTCTGCTCCGCTCTCGTCCGCCACATCCCCGCGTCAGTGCTCCCGCCGGGCCGTCCGTCCCCAGGCGCCGGCGAGCCCCGGACTGCCCATGATGGGCTCCGTGCTCCCGGCTGAGGCCCTGGTGCTTAAGACGGGGCTGAAGGCGCCGGGGCTAGCCCTGGCCGAGGTCATCACCTCCGACATCCTGCACAGCTTCCTGTACGGCCGCTGGCGCAACGTGCTGGGTGAGCAGCTCTTCGAGGACAAGAGCCACCACGCCAGCCCCAAGACAGCCTTCACCGCCGAGGTCCTGGCGCAGTCCTTCTCGGGCGGTGAGTCACGCCGTCGGGGCCCGCCCCGGTCCCTCCTTCCCAGGCCCCCATTCCTCCCCCGGCCGCTGCGAGAGATGCAGCGGGGAGACCAGGCCTAGCGGACTCTCGCCCCAACCTGGGCGCTCCTGACGCTCCGTGCGCCTCAGTTTCCCCGCCCTCAGAAACAGGCTGTGTGCAGCCAAGCCGGGTCACGCCGTGGCCCGCACTCCGTGAGGCCGGAAGAAGGGACCCGGGAGTCCAGGCAGCCAGGCGGCTCTGCCCCTGCGGCCCCCTGCCCGCTCCTCCCCTTTTTGAGCCGGCGGGTTCCCGGCATTTAAAACCTTACTAGGCGTGTAATAGCAGTTGACTCAAAAAGAAGGGGTTTTAAATTCATTTAGTTAACTTGGGCTTGACCCGCGAAAGTTCCCACTTAAACCAAGAACTTTAAAAGGCAGCGGGGGCTGCGGAGGGGGCGGAGGGCGGGCGGTCGGGGAGAAAAAGCCGCGGAGAGAGCGAGGGAGAGAAAGGGAGTGAGAAAACTTTCTTTTCTTTAAGATGTCTCAAGTTCTTATTCCTCATTCATCAGCCCGCAAACAATATCTTTCCCTAGCGCTGGCATCTCTGCGCGTCGCCCTCTCTTCCCCCTTTACGATTTCTGTTCCTCTCTTAATTTACCGTGAAGACTAATTCCACTTCCATTCACGCTATGTCAACCATCTAATCCCCCCTTTTTGTAAGGGGAATTCCTCGGCCCCTTTTAAACAAGTCCCCTCCGCATTGAGCTACAATTTACTGCTACAGCATTCTTCCAGGGCTAATGAATTTAGAATTAGCAATTTCTTTCGAATGGAGCCGAATGAATGCGATCACTTTAACAGCGTGACAAATTGCCGGCCGCGCCGCAATGGACACCGTTTAACACCCCCTTTCAGCTGGCCCGCTCGCCGGGTATTTTCCCAGGTAGCTTAGAGGGGAACCTTGTAAGACATGGAGGCCGCCCCTGGGCTCCTTGCTGCTCCCACCCTGGCCACTGAGGCCGGGCGGGGGTCTCCGGGAGGTAGGGGGCTGCCTCGGCTCTTCTCCACCCAGGGAGGCGACTACAGGCTCGCTTGGGCCTGGCCACCGCTCTCTCTGGCACCCAGGAGCCTGGGCGCAGGGAAGAGAGGGATCCTGGCGCTCTTGGGTCACACGGCGGGTTCCGAGCCCCGCCTGCCGCCGCCTGCGTTTCTTTTGCGCCTCCGCAGCTCCCCAGCCCGAGGTCTGTCCCCAGAGCTGCCAATCCACCTTGGGCGCAGGGCCTCCCCGAACCCTGAAAGGAACCGGAACCTCCGACTGTGTTCCAGGTCCTGCGCCAGCGCCCCGTGCCAGGAGCCGGGACGCGCAGTGGGCGCAGAGTGACAGGAGGAAGCGCCCCGGGTTGGCCGTCACCTCCTGTTTCTCCGCCTGTAAAACGGCGCGTCCGGCTGGCTCAGCAGCTCTTAAACTTTTTTGGGTGTGTGTGTGCGTGTGTGTGCTTTGAGAATTCCCGGAGTAACAGAAAAATCTAGAAACGAGTCCCAACGTACCTCTAGATTTGGAGGGCACTAGAGGTCCCCGGGATGCAAAACCGAGGAGATCGCGACCCTGATCCTCCACACTGCCGGGCCGCCGCCACACACATGCACAGCCGAGTGACTTCTGTGGTGTTGGGTCCGTTTGGGGTTGGCCGGGACGGACAGGACTGGGGCAGGGGGCTGGTGCGGGGAAAGGGCCGCTCCTTCCCAGCCTCAGTCTCTGACCGCGTTCCCTGACTCCCCGGCCGCAGAGGTACAGAAGCTGTCCAGTCTGGTGCTGCCGGCCGAGGTGATCATTGCGCAGAGTTCCATCCCAGGCGAGGGCCTCGGCATCTTCTCCAAGACGTGGATCAAGGCGGGCACCGAGATGGGCCCCTTCACCGGCCGTGTCATCGCCCCGGAGCACGTGGACATCTGCAAGAACAACAACCTCATGTGGGAGGTAAGTGCGGGCCAGGGGAGAGGGTTGCAGGGCGCCGGCGAGGAGCGCAGGCTGCGGGCTGCGCGTGAGACCCGGCGTACGGCCGCGGCCGCTTAGCACCCCCTGGGAACTGCAGGCACTCCTGGCTAGAGGCTCCTGGAGGGGGGACATTTTGCTGCCAGTTGCCTGGAAGTCATTCCCTAAACTGCGCACTTTGGAATAACGCCCCCCCCCACCCCAAATCTGTGCTACAACGACAGTCAGGTTCGGGAAAAATCGGACCCGCTTCCTCCAGGCAACCATGCAAGCATGACTATTGGCCCCACTTCACAGATGAGGGCACTGCGACCAAGAGAGTTGATGTAGATTGTCCAGGGTCCCGCTGACAGCTGGGAAGCCGCTGGGTTGGGTTGGGTGTCTAGGGACGACCCCCCAACCACTCGCATTCTTTCCCTGACTCCAGCAAGCAGCCAGGGAAGCCTCTCAAAGCCAGCCCTGGGCTGGGGATGGTGGTGGCGGAAATGGAGAATGGCGGAGGCCCGGGCTTCCTGGGAATCAGCTTCCCAACCCCAGGCAGATAGTGACATTCAAAATGGTCATTGCTGAACTGGCACTGAGTAAGCTTTCTGAATGCCCGCCTGCATGCTCTCCATCCATGATTTCAACAGTCCTCTGAATAGTACTATTATTCCCATTTTACAGAAGGAAATCGAAGCTCAGGGAGGCTTCCATCCCAGGCCTTCTGACTGTTCCCTCCCAGTGTTCGGATGCCAGGGAGAGGCAGCTTAGAACAAACCCAGTCCTGCAGCTTTCTTCTTCTTGGGGTTCTTACCCTGTAGAACTGGGAACCCACCGAGGCCAGGCTGGGGCACCCACTTGCCCCTACCTAATCTTGTCCCCCCATCTCCTTATTCCCCCAGCCCCCTACCCTCTTCTCCTTCTCCATCACAGCCCCCATCTGGTAGACCCTAGCAGAGTCCAATGTAACAAACCCTGCAGCTGGTCAGGGGAGCAGGAGAAAGAGAACAGGGGGGCAGCCCCGAGGCCTATCCCAACCTCACTTTCTCCTCCCTGGGAGGTCTGAGCCCTTGGTCACCTTCTCCAGGATGTTACTGGGTCGGGAAGTTAGTGTCTGGTTTGGCCTCTTGAGTGCCCTTGGACGCTCCCACAAAAGGGCTGAGATTTGGCCACGGGAAGACTGTCTCGGCCAGGGCGCACAGGAAACCAGCCTCCCTCTCCAGGTTCTCCTGCCCCCTCTGAGGTCCCGGCCAGTGCTCCCACTGCTCTGGGGAGTGCCTATGCATTCCTCAGAAGAGCTAGCTGGAGATCACTTAGTCTGGTCAGTGAGCCCATGGAGGACCTTTTCTGGGGATGGGAAGGATGTGGCAGCAGGAGCACGTCATGGTCAGCTCATAGGGCTCAGGCGTCAACTCACTGTCGGCCACTTCTAGCTGGATGGGCTGAGGCAAGTCATCTCTCCAAACCTCGCTTTCCTCATCTGGAAAACCGAGATGATAGTAGCTGTATCCACTTCCTGGGACTGTTATGAGGATGGAGAGAGTACAAGGATGTGCCCAGCACAGGGCCTGGCCCTGACCACAGACGGCACATGTGGGTACAGCCTTGCCTCACCTGGTCCTCATTCCGCCTGCTCCTAGGTGTTCAATGAGGATGGCACAGTGCGCTACTTCATCGATGCCAGCCAGGAGGACCACCGGAGCTGGATGACCTACATCAAGTGTGCACGCAATGAGCAGGAGCAGAACCTAGAGGTGGTCCAGATAGGCACCAGCATCTTCTACAAGGCCATTGAGGTGAGCTCGAGGTGCTGTCTTATAGGGGCTCTGTGTGTGTGTGTGTGTGTGTGTGTGTGTGTGTAGGGCAGCTGTGTCCAGGGACTGTGGTGGACAGAGGGTCAAGGTTCAAGGGCCTTGACTCTGGTCCAGTCAGCCCTGCCCAGACTGTGGGGCAGAGCCCAGGCATCAGGCTCTCCGAGACTGTGGCCTCTGTGGAAAGCTCTCTGCTGCAGGTTAGAAAGGAAGGAACTTTTGACTTTATGCCATTGTGAGTGTCAGGAGCACCTCAACAGTGAGGTCCTTGGATATCTGCTGAGGGTGTCCTGGTGTTCAGAGGTCACAGAGGAACAGAGGGCAAGGCGTAGGAAGGCAGCCCAAGGAATGCATTTGGGTGGGAGAGAGAGCGTTGTGTCTGAAGCATTTGAGCTGTGCGATGTACCTCATTCTGCATGCCTGGGGCGCCTACCACATGTGGATAATGATCCTAGTCACAGCTATCATGTACTGATCACTCCCTGTGTTAGGCTTCTCCTAGACACTGTATATATACACATTATTGTATTTAATCCTCATGCGACTCTGTGAGGGGAGAAAACTGGGTCTCACATGGTGGCAGGCCGACTAAGGAGCTCCTTTCAGAGCATTTGTTCCTTCATTCGGAAGAGTGTTGGTGCTCACATCTGTGCTAAGTGAGCCTTCTCAGAGAGAGAAAGGGTAAAGTGCAAACAGATAACTATCACTTCCCACAGTGGAGGTGAGGGCTAAGGGAAGGTTCAGGTGGGCAGAGGGGAGGTGGGAGGGAAAAAAGTGTGTTCACAGTAGGGAAATGCTTGGGCAGAGGCAGAAAGTGTCAAGGTGTGTGGGGAGGGGCTGATGGCAAAGCTGAGGCAGGCCACACTGTCTGCTGTCTGGACCCTCCCTGGCCAGTGTTCCTGGACAGGAAATGTGACATTTGGTTCAGCGTCTGGCTCAGGAGCAGGGGAAACTGTCCAGAATTCCCTGTGGCAAGTTGGCTGTGGGTGCTGTGTTTGGGGGGGGGGTCTGCTCCCACCACACTTTTCTGGACCTTAAGCCTCTGCTCCCCCATGGGGAGGAGGACAGTGCCCCTTGGAGGGAGGTTGCAGCTTGGTTGAGTTTTTGGGGTGGCCAGAGAATGATTTCCCTTAGTCCTTGGTCCATTTTTTCCCTGGAACTCAGAACCCGAAGCTCTTTCTAAGGCCCCCAGGAGTGCTGGGGCCTACCAGCTTCTGGAACTTGGGTCCCGAGGGTTGCTCCTAAATAACCAGGCCCAAGGGAATTTCCCAGGAATGATGGTGGAAAGGCCTTTGCCTGGGCCCTGGTGTGGCCAGAGGGGTGGTACAGGGGTGGGGGTGGGGACCAGAAAGTGGAGGATAAGGAAAAGGCATGAGGGGTTAAGTGAGGTCAGATGGCTAGTGAGATAGTGTGAGGGTAGGACAGAAAGTGGCCCAAGCCCAGGGCAGGGGTGGCTCCTGTGGCCATCTGGCCGGGGATCAAGAGATCTCCACTACCAGACAGCTTAGAATGGGCCTCAGGTGTATCTGAGCCCCACTTCATAGATCCTCATCCCTCCTTCACACACACACATACACACACACATCCTCACATTCGTACACTCCTTCCAGCCATCCTAATACAGATGATACGGAAGACATATCCCCCTCCCATGCAACACACACACACACAGGGACACATTCACTTAGGAGACAGACCCAGAATGTCTACATCCTTGTGGCAAAGGGCTCCCAGCTGGGGCAGGTGAGGGGGCCTGAGTCTCAGTTTACTGTGCAGGTCACACCAGCAGAAAGCAGAGCAGTCAGGAAGCATTTAGAGACATTTATACAAAAATTCAGTCAGAGGAAAGGTGGTTGAAGAATATCTCTAGGGAGGGATCTAACTATAAGATTAACAACAAAACAAAACAAAAATATTCTACAATTGATCAGGAATTAAAAGTGATACAATAAGATCAGGAAATAAATATATATATATGATATAAACCCAAAAAACCAAACCCGTTGCCACCAATTCGATTCCGACTCATAGCGACCACGATAGAACAGAGCAGAGCTGCACATAGAGTTTCCAAGGGGCAGATGGTCGATTCAAACTACCGACCTTTGGTTAGCAGCGGAGCTCTTAACCACTGTGCCACCAGAGCTCCAGATATATATGGTAGCATATACATTTATATACACACATATATATCATATACATTTATTTCCTGGTGTGTATATGTATGTATATATGTGTGTGTGCGTGTGTATATATATATATATATATATACATAAAATATCACCAGTTTGGCTATTAATGCTTTTACAGAATTAGTAAATCGACTAAGAAGGACCATATACCAATGTTTGAGTGTAAGATAAGGAAATACAAAAATATCACTCATTTTACTTTTAATAAGCAAAGCTGGAGACATTCTTCTTGGTGGCAATTTTCTCAAACCCACCTGGGTTTTGTCATGATGTTAGACTTCATGTACTGGACAAACTGCGTGTCCTGGTGTATGTGACCACCCGCGTGGCAGGGCCAAGGCTCGAAGCTCAAGCAGCCCTCCCGCTTGAGCAGAAGATACTGCTGCTCTCCCAGGACACTCTCGATGTCTCTGGGATAAGTCGGCTGTTTGCTCTCTGCGTGTGTGTGAGTTAGCCAAGGAGAAGAACCATTGCGTGATCTGTTTTCTTAATCTTTCTGAAACTCAGGACTGCTATTTATATTTCATAACAATAACCTATTAGTTGCCAGAAATGGGAAGGAACATGTTTATTCTATAAGCAGCATATACTATTGATGCTCTAAAAATTTTCACAAATACAAAATAGCAACCCTCCAAAAGAGACAAAGGCAGTGGAGTTCGGTAGAGAATCTTCAGGCAGGTTCTGCATCTGGCTGAGTCTATTGGCTGTTATTCCTGGTGCATTCTTCAATTCAGATGCCGAAAATGACATTTCTAGAGAGTGCCCAGCACCGTGCCTGGCACATAAAGTGGGCACTAAATATTGAATGAATAAAAGTCTTTCTGCAAGTGATGGGAGCTGGGTTAAAAGGCAAACACACAGGGACCCAGTTCTTCCAGGAAAAATGAACTGGCTGTCCCAGACCTTGTTTGAGTCCAAAAATCAGCATAAGAAAAATATTTAGGAATAATGTATTAAAGTTTTGGATTTTGTAATTGGGAAGAAAATTCTCAGAGATGTTTGCTTCTCTATTCTTCGGCAAATTACTATGCCCTAAAGACTTTTTTTTTTTTTCTACGTTCCTTTTGACCTTGCTGATTAGTGGGTGCTGTTAAGGCTCTCGGATTATTAATAATAAGCATCATTAATAACGCTACTATTGTGGAGCATTTACCGTGTGCCAAGCACCATGCTCAGACCCTTTGCAACTTTTTAAAAAAATAGAATACTTCCAGCCCTGTTAGGTGCTTTCTACTATTATCCCCATTTTACTATGACAAAACTAAAGTTCAGAACGATTCCGTTGTTGAGCTGTGATTTGAACCCAGGCTTCTCTGACCCCTGAGCTGGGGCTCTTGATCATCACGCCGTGTGGCCTCCCTTGCCAATAGCTATTTGTTGGAACTCTATTAATTGCTGTGTCAGGACATCTGTGGTACAATGGAAATTGATGTTCGTCCAGATGACACTGAGATCCTTCTAGACTAGGGCTTCTGCACCACATGGGGGAGGGGGCCTCAGAGCCCTCTGGGAGATGTTCAATCGTGTGACATGAATTTTTATTAGAAAAACAAACCAACCCCCCACCATCATCTTCAATTTATAATAAAAACTCAGAAAGTAGGACAGGACAGAACTTCTGGGCTGATATAGAAGGTTAAGAAATATGAGTTGAGAGATCTTGTAATTTGTCAACCAAGGATTGAGGCACTGATGTTCTTCAGAGTATTGGTGGCATGGATTTTCTGCTAGAGGACTCGGTTTCTTTGAGAATTGCTTTGTTTACTGTGTGTCCTGAGCCTCTCTCTGCTCCCGCAAAAAAAGCCAATGAGCCCCTGAAAAGAGCCCCAGCTGGCTAGGCCTGAGTGTTGGCTGTAAAGAAATAGTGTTAGTGAGGGGACGTGTTCTTTGCACTTAAGCAGTCAGCTGGTGGAACTGTGGGAGCCTCTGGACGGTAGTACCATGATATCAGGGAAGAAATTTCAGGTTCTCAGGTTTCCAGGGCTTGATTACAAGAGGTATCTGGCTGAGGGGTACCTGGGAACAGGGAGACACCAGAGAGCAGGACGAAGGCCTGTCACTGACTTCTCAGGGCTCTGAAGGGCTGAGAAGGGTTACTGGCTCTGGAGACGGTGGCTCCCGGCTCTGTGCAGGCTGCCTCCCCTGATGCTGGTTCAAGAGCCCATGGCTTCTAGCTGTCTGGGGATATGTGTCACTCAATTCCAGTAGGTTCTTCTTCTTTTTATTCTTTTTTTTTTTTTAATTGTACTTTAGATGAAGGTTTACAGAACAAACTAGCTTCTCATTAAACAGTTAGTACACATATTGTTTTGTGACATTGGTTACCAACCCCACCACATGTCAACACTCTCCCTTCTCGACCTTGAATTCCCTATTACCAGCTTTCCTGTCCCCTCCTGCCTTCTAGTCCTTGCCCCTGGGCTGGTGTGCCCCTTTAGTTGCATTTCGTTTTACGGGACTGTCTAATCTTTGGCTGAAGGGTGAGCCTAAGGAGTGACTTCATTACTGAGCTAAAAGAGTGTCCAGGGGCCATACTCGCAGGTTTCTCCAGTCGCTGTCAGGTCAGTAAGTCTGGTCTTTTTTGGTGAGTCAGAATTTTTTTCTACATTTTTCTCCAGCTCTGTCCGGGACCTTCTATTGTGATCCCTGTCAGAGCAATCGGTTCCAGTAGGTTCTTCTTAATAGATTTTCATTCTTAAAAAAATTTTTTTGTATAAAAGTGTTCTGTGCTTATTATTAAAAAATCAGATGTATCATGTAGAAAATGGATGTCACTCTGCCCATCACACTGCTCTCCGTGAACTTGGAATCAGCATTTTAAAATAGTCACAAAATGCCAAACTCTTCTGGGGCAAGACGTACAAGAAACCCGTGAGAGTGGCTGGGCATGGAGAGCAGGAGGGAGATTACTTTTCATTATACGCCCTTTGACATGTTTGCACATTGTTGTTGATGTGTTTGCGTCATTGTTCTCATTTTTTAAATTAATTGGTAAAATTAATTTTAGTACATTAAAAACGTATAATGAATGATTCACCCTTATGTTAAAACAGTCACCACTGAATCTCTTATTTGAAAAATAATATTCTAAATAACCATTATGAATAATAATATTCGGGGTTTGTACAATCCCTGATGTTCTTAGCTCTGACTCTCATTCATCATCACTATCAGCATCATACTTAATTGTTGTAGTTTAAGTGAAAGTTTACAATTCAAGTTAGTCTCTCACACAAAAATTTATACATACATTGTTATGTGACCGTAATTACTCTCCCTATACTGTGACAGCACACTCCTCCTTTCCACTCCAGATTTCCTGTGTCCATTCAACCAGCTCCTGACCCTCTCTGCCTTCTCATATCACCTCTGGACAGGAGCTGCCCATTTAGTCTCTTGTATCTACTTGAGCTAAGAAACACACTCTTCACGAGTATCACTTTATGTCCCATAGTCCAGTCTAATCTTTGTCTAAAGAGTTGTGCAAAGAGCTTTGTGTGTGGGACCTGCTGAACCCCAACAGGCACTCAGTGAGGCAAGAGCTATGTTAATGTCCTTATTTTACAGTTGAGGAAACTGAGGCACAATGACATGAGGCACCTTGCCCAAAGTCATAACACGCTTTCCAAGTGGGGAGCCTGAGTGGACCCTGACCTGTCTGACTCTAGGTCCTGAACCAGAACCCTCTGCGGCGCCATCCTCTGAAGGAGTATGTTCAGACTTTCTAACGGAGGCTGGTTGCTTTAGAAGAACCATGGCGAATAAATGTCTGCTTTCATCTGAGAATTGAAGCCAGAGGTTGGGTCACTGTTGGAGGTGACTTACAATCAGTCTTAGAGTTGGGGTGACCTCAGGGATCGTGCTCCCAACACCCTCATTAGAGCGGACAAGTTCAGAGAGGTGAAGTGATTTGACCAAGGTCACTCAAGGACCACCTGGTGACGGATGGCTCGTCGCGCCATCTTGTGTAGAGCGGCTTCCTTCACAATGAATTTCTCTTAAATATTTTAGTTCCATTATCTACTTTTCTAAACAGGTTCACAAGACCTCTCTCCTCTGCCCCTTTTCCAGCATGGCCTCCAGCTCTGACCTGCTGGCTTTCTGGACAGTGGCCATGACTGTAAATGACCAGAGAGGCCCCAAGGACTTTCACTGCAGTGCCAGAGTCTAAGCTGCCCGCTTTCTTTGAGGGCTCAGGGACAGCACTTGGCTTTTCCATATTTGAACCCCCATCACCCTGTGTTGGTGTGGTACCTTCTGCCTGGCTTCTCATTACCCACTGATCCTGAGCCTTGATGTGGCACCCCACAGGCTGTGGGCTCAGGTGGGAAGGGGCCTGTGACTCTAAGCCAAGTTACAGGAGGATGGGAGTCACCTAGGCTCCCTCACACTTTCCTGGACCTCTCTCCCCTCTCCCCTCCCTCCTCTCTCTGTTTCTGTGTCCTTTCTAGGTTGAGCAAGCTCTCTGGGATGCTCTGAGGGTCTTCCTGGATCTGACCTGGCTGGGGTTCTTCCAGAGGAAGGAAGGTGTGGTGAACAGAGGGGCTTCTAAGTGTAGCAGGAGTCTGAGGCCAGAACCAACCTAACGGAAGGGGAGCTTCTCTCTGGTCAGGGAATGGAATCCCAATCTCCTGGGTATGCCCTGGATTGTGGGGTTTATGGTCAACACCGACTCAGAACGGGCCTTCCACAGCCTCCCTGATGGTCACTGAAAAACCCTCCCTACCAACAGCCTTCACCTCTTCCCTGGGGCAGGTCCTCACTAGAGACAGCAGAGCCCTGTCACCCCTGTCATAGACCTAGGACAGGGTGAAATGGATTTTGTTTAAGGCTGTTTTCCCCAGTATTTCCTGAGGTGGGAGGAATTCATCAATTTTAGCATTCGCCATGTGCCTGGAATCGCGCAGAGCCCTGTGATGGGTAGAGAAGAACGTGTGATATGGTGCTGCCTTATGGGTGCTTTGGATGAGAGATGTTTCCAGAACATTATCAGGCAGGTTGCAACCAAGTGCTATATAGGGTGCCCCACAGCCCACACTCTTTGGAAACAGGTGGCTCAGCCCTGTGGCCCTGAGGGCTGCCTAACTCTGGTTCCACTCAGTAAGAAATGAAAAGTTTTCTAGCTTTCCATCTTCTGTTACTTCTGCTGGCTCCAAGGCTTCCATTCTGTTGCTGTTGGCTTGAAAGTTCTGGTGTGGCCAGGAGGCAGCTCTGTTCCTAGCTGCAGAGCTAGGACAGAGATGATGAGAAGGCCTGGGCAGGGAAGGGAGCTGAAGAGTGGAGCAGTCCAAAGACCTCTGTTTGTGCAGCTCACTGGGGATGCTCGGTGAAAATGAACCCTAGTGTGGCTCTCTCAGGGCTGAGGCTGGATGCACATCTCCATGGCAGGAGCCAGGACAGCAGCCTCCTGGCTGCAGGGGATGTGCAGAGACCCTCAACTGTCACCCCCTGACCGCTGCCTCCCTGATCTCTCCTCTCACCTCCTTCCTTGCAGATGATCCCACCCGACCAGGAGCTGCTGGTGTGGTACGGGAACTCACACAACACTTTCCTGGGGATCCCAGGTGTTCCTGGGCTAGAGGAGGAGCAGAAAAAAAACAAGCATGGTAGGTATTCTTCGAAAGGCCTTAATGCAAAGGACTCACTGAGGGAGGAACACAGGGAGAGAATGTGTGTGTGGTAAGGAGGCTCCTGGCCCCTGGGGACCCTGCTTCAACCTCTGGCAGCATCAAGTAGATGGGGCCTACTGGTCCAAGGAGGCTGATGCCCCTGGAGCCTGCCACCACAATTCTGGCATGGGTGGAGGCAATCGTCCTGCCAGATGGACTGTCCTGGGGACAGGTGAGGGGACACCAGAGAGGTAGCGGGTCATGGCAGAAGGAGCAAGGGGCTGGGCAGAGGGAGCCTAGATTGGAGTTCCAGTTCTGCTGTACAATTTTTGGAATGGCTCTGTGCCTCAGTTTTCCCATTTGTAAAGCAAAGGTGTTAGGCAAGATTATCTCTAAGCTCCCTTCTAGCTCTGACAATCTGTACATTTCACTGCGCTGTCCCTGGTGTCCAGCACAGATGAGACGCTTGTGACATCTGATTATCCTTATTTTTACAGAGGATGAACCTGAGGCTCATGAACTACCATTGTTGAGCCCTTGCTCTGCAGCTAATGTTTTACTAACATGAATTCTTCTGATTCTTACAACAGACCTATGGGGGTAATGCTATTATTACCTCCATTTCAGGGATGAGAAAACTGAGGTGGCAGTTCCCTAGTACATAGTAGGCACTCAGTAAATTTTTGTGCGATGAATAAATTTAAAAAATTTTGGGGAGTGGTTATAATAATAGCTACTCTTTATGGAAGGCCAACTAAGAGCCAGGCACTTCCCATACATGGGCTAAGACATGTAAAGTGCTTAGTATACAGTAAACTTTCAATGATGCCTGCTTTTTATGATCATCTCGTGGAATAGCGCATAGCCCTGTTTAGGTTGTACTAGGTTACCATTTCACAGATGAAAAAAAACGAGGTTTAGTGAGGCTACGTCACTTCCCCGAGGTCGCACAGGGATAATCTGGTGTCAACTCCTGTCTGACCCCAAGCCAGGGCCCTTCACTGCCCCTCCCTTGCCTCTGCCAGCGCCTTCAGTCAATCCAACCATCAACCATCCCTCAGTCAGACAGGCTGAGCTCTGGAAGCGCAGCGCGTGCGTGGGAGTGCGGGGAGGGGTGGGTGCCCGGTCCGCGGCGGCGACGGCTCTAACTGGGCTGCTCTCTCTCTTCCTCTTCCGTCTGTTCCCCCAACCCCCCGCCCGCCCTACCCTGGCCTCCCTCGCCCCCCCGGGCCCCGCCCGCGCGGCCAGAGGACTTCCATCCGGCGGACTCTGCGGCGGGCACTGCGGGCCGCATGCGCTGCGTCATCTGCCACCGCGGCTTCAACTCGCGCAGCAACCTGCGCTCGCACATGCGCATCCACACGCTGGACAAGCCCTTCGTGTGTCGCTTCTGCAATCGCCGCTTCAGCCAGTCGTCCACGCTGCGCAACCACGTGCGCCTGCACACGGGCGAGCGCCCTTACAAGTGCCAGGTGTGCCAGAGCGCCTACTCGCAGCTGGCCGGCCTGCGCGCCCACCAGAAGAGCGCGCGCCACCGGCCGCCCAGCGCCGCGCTGCAGGCGCACTCGCCCGCGCTGCC